CCATGGACTCGGATCGGAAGGCTGAGATCCCGAACAATTTTGCCGAACGCGGAATCGTTGACCACATTGCGTAGTACTCGGCACTGAGTAGAAAGGAGCTTTTCCATATGCGTTTTCCGCTGCATCGGGATTGTTGCACTCAGACTTGGTATACCAAGTCCCCCATGTCGTTTACCGGCGTGAATGTAGCTGATCGGAGTGTCCTTCGGTAGACGTAGCCAGTGGCCCCAGCTCTGAAAACTGGTGACATTAGAGCCCCTACAATTGCCAGTCGTTAGCCTGACGAAGACCAGAAAGATAATCGTGTTTCGGTTTTTCATCCTTCCTACTAAACTACTTGCAACGTTTAAGTAGTTAGAGTAATGTATCAAATTGATCCGATATTGCCCACGAGACGTGACGGCGGTCTCCCCATTTTTTCCTTGTTTCGCGCTGCGCCAGTGTTTTGTAACAAGGTGACACAGTAAGAGGGTAACTTCGTGTTAGTGAAATCATCCGAATAACAATGATCAAAGTTTGCAACTTCTGTTGAAGGTGTTGAGCTTCAAACATATATCGATCTCCATCGCTGAATAGCTGTGCTAGCATTCGGTTAGCCGTCGTCCCATTCATACATCTGCTATGTAACAGATGCATATCGTGGCATATTACGTCGCCTTAATATACGAGGCTGACGAAACGTATGCTTACAACGGCTTGTTCTACCACGTTATTATTTGGTTACAATGCCCTACTGCCGCATCCCCACATAGGATGGACTGAACGATGAGTTCAAATTTGCTACAATTCAGTGGTCAGTGTGGCGTTGTCGAGGCCTTTGATTTGATGTGATGATATCACCCATGACCTAGAATCTGGTTTAAACCATGCCCCGTTCTCTCCTATCTGCCTCTTGCGTCCCGAAGAGTCGCAGTGGTAAAGAAGCCCCATCTGCGTTATGACACGTGAGTATCACGCCTGTATGGACAAAACAGCCACTTCGGACATTAGTTGGACTAGGGGCACAATGATCTATTGGTCACAGTATTCTGGAACGCGTTTTCACTCCAAAATTAGGTCAAAAGACTGTCTTCGAGTGACGATGGCAGTAGATCACCTGATCCAGTATTCAAACACAGTTAAGACAGAAAGACGTATCATAATGTAGAGGGGGATCGAAACTCACAGACCACAGATTGAGTTGAGTAGGCTTACTGAGATAAAAAGTTAGAGAGATAGAGATGTCCAGCGAAACTTGTTTGAAACATTCCGGAAGATCCCTACATCGGCTTTCATTGTATATGGCTTCTGCAAGACTATCTGGAAATAGATCACCAACGGATGCTTCCTTGAATACTTTTTGGCGAACTAGCGGAAACAGTTTCCGTGTATTCCAAGTACACCAGAGTTCTCCTTTTTCTAAAAATTCCCAGGTTCCATAAATGCTTATAGTTCTCACAGAGGCCCATTTTGAGCTAGTGAATAACAGATCGCCTTGCAGATTTGTGCATTTGCCCGGAGGAATACAGTATCCCGGATCAAACATTGACAATGGCCATTCTGAGACCATGGTTTCCACATGGTTCCACAGTTTCCGACAACTTATAAAGCTGTAGTCACCTCTTTTCAGCTATCCTTGATATCTTCCAAAGAGGCCGTTTGTAATGCATCATAAAGCATGCTTTGGCATAATTGCTTACCTGATGGTTGAAAACCTTGTACATTGCCAAATAGGAAGTTCATGTCCTTATATTACAGTGGCAATTTAAAGGAACTGTACAGAGGATGAGCGCATGTTCTGAATAAACTATGCTTTCCAGGATGAAAGGCAGCCTGGAGACATAAAAACCGAGAAATTCAGCTGGGTTCCAGGCGAGTCTCTCGCAAAACCAAATTAGCTTGCAAATGAGTGTATATTCGCTAATTTCGTGCAATCATGTCCTTATATTACAGTGGCAATTTAAAGGAACTGTACAGAGGATGAGCGCATGTTCTGAATAAACTATGCTTTCCAGGATGAAAGGCAGCCTGGAGACATAAAAACCGAGAAATTCAGCTGGGTTTCAGGTGAGTCTCTCAAAAAAAAAACAAATTAGTTTGCAAATGTGTGTATTTCGCTAATACCATAGTTCACTTATTTCTACGTTCTATGATACAGTTTTGGTAACCGAAGAACGGACTTGTCTATCGCAGTTGTGGGATAAGCAGGACCTGGCACCCAACGGATACTTCGGACGCCGAAACTCAAAACCTGCTTTTAAGTTGTGCAGAGCATCTAGCTAGACTGAACCAGTGTACCGAGAAGAAATTTTGAGATAGCCCTCAGTAAACGAATAAAAGAGGGTTGAATACTGTCGCCGATTTGAAATAATCTTCCAAAAAAATAAAACCGGCCACTGAGAGGGCTCAAATAACCTATTTATGATGATGCGAGCTCTTGGGAGATTACTGAAGATATTTAGGCTTTCTCCTGACTTACAATTACACAGTCAGTACTCTTTAAGTGAGTTCTACAGTTCAGCAGGTTGTCAGACTGATTTTGGAAACATTGTTTTAGCAAAGGAACATGAAATTGCAGTATAAAAAAACCGAGAAAGTACACAATTGATGCGTTTCCCGATGCTGTCGATATTATTATTACAGATCCCTGAACAAAAGACTGACAACCTTGGTGATGAGCGTAGATTGACGAAATACGAAAGTGGCTTAGAAAAGATGCCGTGGCAGCATCAAGACGTGAAAGAATCGTTGTGCTCAATAGGGCACTCTTCTAGCGTGATGCTAGCCCTTCCCCCGAGACCGGATAGTTTGTACCCAGAGGTTCCATGTAAGGTAATTTTGTCGTGGCAACGGATCAACGGGATGAATGGTATTCAAAACAAATTAGATTACTGGTGAGTATGGGCGATCAATCTGGAAAAGTGGCACTGACGTTATTCGGACACTAGCAGAATCACCACCGGATTTGTTGGAACAGCTAGCACAGAAATGAAATAAGGTTTCTAAGACAACACTGGAATACAGTTGTCGAATCAAAGTTGAGAGAGTACAAATAACTTGGCTGTAGTAAAATAAAGAACAATTTGTACTGGATTCTATTAGCACTTAGTAGCGAAAATTGCAACTCAAACCTAATAGACTCTGTCATAAGCACCACTCTCATCGTTTTACTGACCTCTGGCAAACCACTATCCTCAAGGTGAGCAGTTCGCATCCCATAGTGAGGGTAGTCAACAGCTGCAGGATAGTGCTGCTTTCGTAGGGTGATTTCGTTTTCCGTTGTAACATCGGCGCCCATCTCTCCACTGTTCCACCGATTGTCAGGTGTCCGGTGGTCCTTGGAATCACAGGACCGGAAAGGGATCTCGAAGGTGATATGTTCATTACGAGGAACGGCAGTCAGCAACTTTGATTTTTCAAGGATTGCGGGTTTCGTTTCTGATGTGGGATCTTTCTCAGTTGATGGAAGATGAACCAACGCTAAATTATTTGTTGGGTTCGGAACCTCAAGTTTGTCCTAAAAAGAATTTCAACAAGGCCGGATTGATCAAGCAAAAAAGTGGCTGGCAGACGACGGTTGTAATTCGTGTGCACAGTAAAATCAAGTGACTACAACATTACAACGTTTACGACATACATTGCAGACTACATTAGTTGTAAACAAGCGAAGACGATGTTGAAAGCACTAAAACAAAAACCATCAATTGAGATAAGCTTCTTGGATTATCTGCGTTCCTTCTGCAGGTTATATCATTCATAAGTGCAACCAGTCTAGTCCTTGATGATGTTTTATCAGCACGATAAATACAACTGTAAGGTTATGGTAAAGCGAAGCAGTGGTCCATTAGCAGTGCCAACGATCTTCGCTAAAAGGATTTAAGGCTGTCTTACTCTGCTTCTTCTGTGGCCCCAATAAGGTCGCGCACGGTTTGCGAGTGCTTTCAATGACTTCGTCGGCATAACTATATGGTTCACTTGGATGCCTGCCACCTAGTTAACTTAGTGTGACCTAGTCAGACCCAATCTCAATCGTAAGGACTGGTTTTTTATCAGCGGTTCAATAACAAAACTGCAAGAAATGTGATAAGACTGGTTGAGTCCTTCTTCTATCGGCCTCGCTTCGAATGATGCTCACTGAGGTTCTCATCAATTTTGCTCACTTGCAATTTCAGGTACTCAACAACTTGAGTCATCATGCCTAGCCTCAAGCTATTTACTTGCCTTTCTCACTCCATGTTGAAGTGCAACGGCGGCAGGTGTACTGACTAATGTTACTAGCCGCGTGACCTGGGATAAAACTTAGATCAAAATAAGACATCGATGGCGCACGGCAGTAACGGTGCGATCAGTCACGACGATTGACCTGCAAGTACGTGCGAAGATGAACTAAATGCAGGACATTCTGTGTTCCCTGGCCAGCTCCGGGAGCGGTTTTCTGAATGGGTTTACTGTAGCCGATAAAAAATTGCTCATGCTATTGAGACTAGCCGTAGAGGGAGAATGACTGAGTTCAACTGATTTGCTTCTCAAAATCCAGAGCGACAACTGTGGCCAGCAGCATATCGGATGCGCCTACCTACGACAAATGGAACATCTTTCAAGTTTTGGCGATTAGCACAGCACAGTTCAATCCATATACCAGTCTCACCTGACATTCATTACTTTCTAAGGGACTGTCCATCCCACAGGACTCACCCTGTTTGCATGACTCACCGAAGGATCCCCAGTCAGAAGCTTCTCAAATTCAGCATATCCCTTTCTCCATGCCAACTGCATTGGCGTCTCACCTTGCGCGTTGCGCATTGTCCGTATATCTGGTGGTACGGAGTCTTGACGCTTTCCAATAGACATTCTGCGTTCGAAATTGGCTTCAACAAGGATGCGAGCAAGTGCAACACGTCGAAAACCAACAGCAATGTGCAGCGGATTATCACCGTTCCTGTTAACGGCCTCCATAGAGATGGGAGTAGTTAGAAGAATACGGACCAAGGCTAGGTGGCCATATCTTGTAGCTGTGTGTAAAGCGGTGTCTCCAAACTATCGACAGAAGATGAACAAGACAGAACAAAGTCTGCGTGTTTTTGAAGTCAAACTTATGGATAAACATCAGTGTTTGAAACTACTGTTGTTGAAGCAGATAACGATGAACAAACACGAAGGTAACCTTGATATGTACCGTAAGGGCAGCGCATGATGTATTTACAGAACAGAGGTTCAAAGCCAAACGGTTTACGGATAAGCAGCTACAAAAATCTAGGTTTGCTTGCTGGCGTCCTATTACCATATAAATAGACCTTCAGAACTTCATTTTGTATGAAGTTTGCAGGGCCACGAGGGAAAGGGTTACAACTTAGATGAAAAGCTTTTCTTACAAGAAAAACGTTTTGGGTACACCTTTCCTTGTAGCACATAATCATATTCGAAGGGTCCGGATTTTATCACTTTCATTTAGATCCACATCATATAAAGTAGTGCCCGAAGACTTCATATGATTGTTTCAGCAAGTTCGACTGTGTCATGAGCAAAGTGGCCACAAGATTATCAAGTGTTCACATAGGACAACGATCATCATATCAGTGTTTTCGCTCTTAAACGGAATTGAATGCGCGAAATAATATGTTTAGTATTCAAAATTCAACCTGGCCACAGACAACCAGACCACAGGGATGGAATTATTCTGATCCAACGAAGAGAGAAACCTAAATCGATAGTTGCAAGTCATCTTCTGGCTGCGTCATATAACGCCTGTCTGAAGCACTCATGTGGACGGCTTAAAAGAAATATGAAGACGTCACGCTTCGTTCAGCCGGAAGCGAAAAACTGACAACGTAGTAAATGTTGCTATGGTGCACACGGGATAAGGAGCAACTTTCGTCCATCCATGTTAGATGAACTTTTACATGCGGATTTGTTAAAACCAGGATCTTGCACGTGTAAAGTCAGTCGCAATGGATTGTAACATTCATCGTAACAATAATAACTGCATGTGGCGCGCTCTTCCGAAGTTACATATCCTGTTATCTGAGTCACACGTAGAAACTTTTGGAAATAGCTACCCTTTCTATTCGACAAAGCTTCCGATAATATTTATGAGCGTTGTAATCTATTTTGTCGGATGCTACAAGTTGATTTGAAACCTGAAAACGACGAAAGTCACTTTGATCGTGGCATATCCTGCATAAGGATCATAGGGAAAGGCGAATGACAGCGCTTCATCAGACGGAAAGTATTTTGTTAGAATTTTACCAATTCAGATGGAAAACACACGTCAGGGTTGTGACTGCGATAGAGTTGTTTACAAAAGAGGAGGATGATACATGCAATGTGTGCACAAAATCACCCTAAGTGTGAACCTAACATTTCCTCTTCCATTCAGAGGCACTTTAGAACAGGAGGTAAATTCTCATTATTTTGCTCTACTCTTGAGAATCACGTTACCAATAATAAACCCCACCCAACAATGACATCAGACAGCGTATTCTTGGGGTCGGCATGCCTGCTCCCTCCATCGTTAGGAAGACTTCAGGCAGTTCAGAGGAACAGGCCCAAGCCCCGGGCGAAAATGGTGAACACCACATGGCTGACTGTAACCAGCTTTTGTCCTTATTGCTGAACAGGCGACGTGGTAGCCAGCGGTTGCATGGGCGGCGAAGGGTGTGGTGTGAGTTGAAAAAAGATTGGACCCCAGTAGCACATCAAGTTGTTTTGAGTGGGGGATCGAAACCTGATCCGAATTCGTCTCTTGTCTATGTTCTTCAGCGCTACGTGCAACGCCAAACCTTCCTCACGATCCGATAATTACCTCCGACAATCAAAACCGCACCAAACTGAGAGAGAAAACGGTAATGCGCTGTCGGAAAATTACGAAGCAGTATGTGATTACACCGAAAATCGGGACAAGTGGACCATGAGGCGGTGTTTGAAGTGCACCTTAGTGGACGTGAACAACAAACGAGATATTTATCTGAAACCGATGTGAATACACCCTTCATACCAATCCGATACGTGAATGAGCTTTAAGTACAATAGAAATGGAAACTGGTTTAGAGCAAGATAAGAAAATTCAACGTGAGCCTGGGGACTGCGCCTACTCAGCGAACCCGAATGGGGAGATCTGATCGCGAAATGTCAGCACATTCCGCACAGTGATATCATGCTAATTATAAGGAGTATCCACTCGGAGAATCGTACCGCTTCCGCTTCTGCTTCCGCTTCGTAAGTCGAATTATCAGTAAAAAGCAAGTAGACCAACGGAAGAACATACGACGTTAGCCATTATCCGATGGACAATTTACGTGAGGTTGATAAAGGGATCACCATATCATTAAACACAGGACTATCAGCATTAACATCACATTCCAAAAGCTCAAAGTGAAAACAGAAACATAACGAAGGGGGAAAGGACATGAGCTCAAACCGCCACACAACATTAAGTGTCAACGTTTCTGCCGATTTGAAACATGAAATCAAATTCTACTGCCCAAAAATGCGTAAAAGAGCATGAAACTTGCCGTGAAGCCATATATATAGCCATATATAATTAATTTCTCAAGTCACCGTGCGAAATGAGAGAAACGGGAGTTTGGTCCAACACGGTTAAGAGACATCCCTCAGGTAGGTTGAAATTTAGAACCTGTGGTCAAAAAACAATTTTGGCGTGCGGGATTGTCCACAGGTATACCGGCTGATTCTACTCCACACATCGAGTAAGATCTCGTCAAGAGAACTGAGGATGACGGTACTCAAAAGCAACTACCCTTGCGAAATCGCCACTAAGGATAGGTTTGATGGGCGATTGAAAGTATCATAAACAAGAGATTCAGCTGGGTTCTAGGTGAGTCTCCCGCAAAACCAAATTTGCTTACAAATGAGTGTATTTCGCTAAGAACTAACTCTGTTTTTGGCATTCAGATCCGATCCGGAGTAGATAAGCACGCGTGCGCACTGATTGTGTCCGTACTGCGCCGCCAAATGAAGAGGTAGAAAGTTTGCCTAGAAAGTGAAAGAAACGATAGGAAAAAATGAGTCGTAGCAAAACAGATGGGATGATCATGGTAACAAAGTGAAACACAGTGAATTCAAAACAAGTGTAAGACTTTTGACTTGACCAAAACATAGTCCTGTTGCTGTCAATTACCCCTCTACAAACTGCACTCTCGAAAAACTTTGAAACCGGGCCTTATAAGACGGCAATTGTTGAAATAGGGAACAATTGTGTTTACGAAATGAACACTGCCATTGCTGTGTTTTTATGCGTCTGTGTTTACGGTCGTGCACTCATATATTTTGCCACAACTTAGTAAATACAAGTCATTCCTATGCACCCGTCAAATGATCATATTGCCTCTTAAGGATATTACAAATGAGTAACATTTTTACAGAGGTGACTTTCTCAATAAGTACTCTGTCAAGAGGGACGGCTGTATAGTTTTGGAATGTATGGATTTTAGTAATGGCTATCCCTCTACAAAGAAAATTGGTGTGAGCCTACGCAGGTTGAACAGTTCGCCTAGAATTGCAGAAAACCGGCCAGAAAAGGGAAAGACAAGCAACCATCTGTCAGTAAATTACATTGCATTGTTCCATAAGGTCCTGACGAGATATTTGGCCTTGATGATGTTTAAAAGTTGTTTTCGGCTGACTGTTAGTCGAGACGAGATAGTCCTAACTAATATTTTCTGTTATCATCCGTCGTAAGGATCATCAAATAATAAATTACGGTGAAACATAGTCTTCAGTTTTTATCGGAAGTTGTCGGAAAACGGTGAACTGTGGCATATGATCTAGGACAAGTATACGTCAAACCAATAATGTTAGGTCATACAGCCAAAGCAGAACCGAACACTGTCATTTGCCTCTATCGCGGGCTACATAGTCCTACGAAAATACTCAGACTTAACGAATTCCTATACAAAAAACTCGTCCGCATGTCACTACACTATCCGAGGTCAGTCGTCGCAATTCCACATTGACCATACTTTGCGGACACTGAACGCGCGAAATAAGTCGAGACAACAGTGATCTAGTGCAGATAGCTGTTGAGTCTCTCATGCACTTAATAAACAAACATCAGCTAAGCAGTGAAGCAGCGTTCAAGGACGGCGATCTGTTAGTCTTTCCTTTGAAGTGCAGTTCGACTGCCTGATGCTATTGTAGGTATCGTAGATTGGCAAATCCCGGTGCACCTCTTCCGAGGTGGGAGGTTATTTTCGAGGTATGAGCTATGTTTTAGCCAATGAGCGTAAACGAAAATACGACACAGTTCATAAAGGTGAAGACACGTATGGCAACTGGTCAGTGCTGTTAATAAGAAGCAGACCAAATGAATTCCAGCCTAAGGCGATCGAGAGTGTATGTCTTCTGATAATGGCAATCGCTAAAGCCAGACCCCATGTACTGTGGCAGCAACAAGTCCCTAAGAGTTCTTCACATGTAAACTGCAAGTGTGGGCTTCACTTAATAGAAACAAACTGGTGGATAAAGTGCGATAGGTTTGCCTAAGATCCAATACAATGTAAGATCATTTACCACACTATACAGCAAGCGCTCTGACTGTGCCAACAGTCAATTTCGAATAAAGATGTATTTGGACGTACAGAATAAAAGGCTCCTGACCGAGGCAACATTGTTGCTACAGGGGCTACTCAAAAGCGTCAACATGATCTAGAAAGGCAGCCACTGACTGCCAGGCTGAAAACCTTCAGCTTGTTGATACATTCCTCAAACCATTTGTGGGTCACGCATACCTAACTGACATTCGGCTCAGCATTCACTTTAGTGAAAAGTTTCATGAAGAAAACACATCGACCCGTTATATAATACTTGTATTTCGTCAGGCTCGCCAAGCCCTAGTGAACCTTTAAGAATGAGCTAACACATTCTTGGTAGCAAGAGAGACTTGTAGTCCCCATGAGCGCAGCCGTTTCCCCCTCCCCTCCTATAAGATAAAGAAAGGACGTAAATGTTACATTGCAGATTGATTTGTGCCTGTCGACGACAACGACCATAGAGGTTTTTCTCATTGGAACAGCCATTTG